ACAGCCAAAGCCTGCAGGAAATTAATACACACACAGTCCTTCCAGACTCAAGGGAAACCGTTAAAATATCTGTGTCCTCATTTCAGAGTCTTTCATAGGTAATGTTCCTGATACTCTGCTGTATCCTCGTCTAAGTAAATAAATTGTAAAAGTAAGTTTTGACTGATTTTTGCTGATTGCATTAAGACATTGCATCATTTGCATTGCAACCACTCAGGACTTCTTGTGTTGTTCCCAGTTCTTTTCACAACAAATAGACCTCCTGGCAAAAAGCACAGAATCAGATTGCTCCACTTTCCTTGCATCAGGTTGTATTGGGATTTTTTCATCAAAATGCTACATAAATTTAAATCTTAATGCTGAATGGAAGTATTTTAACATTCCATTATGTATTAGTAAACCAGTTACCTACTTAATTATTATCCTAGAGTTGTTTATTCTCATTCTTGAGCTTAGCTGTGGTCAAAAAAGACCCAGTCCTGCTGGACTGGAATAAAATGAGATTTTGCTTTTCAATTCAATGGCAGTAGAGTCAAGCCTTCACTTTTTTCATTTTCTACTGTTACTGCTTTTTTTTTAATTCATGGCTCCTGTTTCTTCATGGCTTTAGTTCTTAAGGAAATTTATGGAACAGTGGTCCTGATACCAAGACCTATGGCACTCCCTGCTGTTAATCTTATCCTGTAATAAGAATTGGCTGTTTATTTCTTCCCTTTTTTTTTTATGTCTCAGCCATTTTTTTTATTCTCTTGAGGCTCTGCTTCTCACCCATGGTTACCAAGTTGCCTTAATAGCCTCTTGTGATGATCAAAATACCTCTATAAATCTTTGTGTCTCAGTTCATCCACTGTTTCGGTGGATCTGACCTTGAGAAGTTGTACTTGATCTTTGAGGGCCTGCAGATATTTCATTTCTCTCCTGTGTGGGCTGTGGCCACGTCCCAGGCAGCTGGTGCTTGTAGGCAGTGGAGCAGAGCAGAGTCCTCGCCCAGCCTGGCTGAGCCCCGTGAGCTCCTGCCCTCCTTGTTTTCTTCCAGCTTCACCTCCTTCCAGCCTGCTGCTATTTTGCTCCTTAAAAAGGACTGAATACTATACAAGTCTTGTTTTTAAGGGCTACTAATAAATGCATCTGGGACAAAATGCTGGAGCAGCTTTTGCTTTCATGAGAGTCTACACAGTACAGAAATATTCTCCTTTTTTTTCTGAGGGAAGTGCTGCTTTGTCTCTGCTCTCTTGTACACCTACAAATCTATGTTTGCTAGCGATTTTACCTTATATTACAGGATATGAACTGTGATTTAATAGCAGAAAAATAGCTTCCTTTGTTACACTGGATTCTTTTGGTAATCACTGTACTGCTGATGTGATACATGTGAATTTTAGATAGCCTTCACTAAGTTTAAGTAATAAATCAATTTAGGTTTCTACCACTGTTTAACAATTAAAACTTCTACCAGTGTAAGCAGAGGCACTTCATGTGTATGCTTTTAACTTTTCTTTGCCATTAAGAGTTTTATATGTTACCATCTAATTGCCCAAGAGAAGAACAAATTATTTGTAAGCAGTTCAAAATTAAGAGAGAAGCAAGCTCCAGTATATATCATTTTTGTATTTCAGTGCACTTCTTTAGTGTAAAAAAAAAAACAAATCAAACTTTGAGAGGAGGGGGAAAGAAAGCTAAGCTTGATCTTTCAACCTTCATCCAGCAGATTTTAGTCATCATACTTTGCCAGAGCTTGCTAGCAGAGTTTTGGCAGCAGTGGATGGTGATGTCACATGCTGCTGTAACCTGAATTGCAGTAGTTCCTCATGCCACCAGATGAGAAGGGAGGTACTAATTCCTGAACTCTCTTCTAATGTTTATGCAAAGTACAGCACAGAGAGCAATACAAAATCCTTGTTAAAGGGGAAGGAGGGAGAGAAAGGGGAAAGCTCTCTTTGTGCCTTTGCAGCAGTTTCATAACTTGAAGGTCTGTTTGTCATTCTTAGTGCCTCAGTGGAGGTGCTTTGCATTCTAATGTGTACAGTCCTAAAGCTGAATATGCAGTGTGACAGGAGGGGCTAGAGGAGATGTTCTTTGTCTCAGAAACTTTTAGAAAATGCATTTTAAATTCTTAAGATGATGTGGGGAAAAAGAAGCATTTAATCAGAAGTGCTGTTTATTGCTCAGTTTAGTTTGCACTGAGGGGAGCTGGGTTGTTGCTGTCCTTGGAGCTCACGAGCACAATTAGTTACCAGTGGGACACGTGGTGAACCTCCAGGAGGAGGATCTGTCATCATTCATAATTGCCCTTTGCAAGTAAAGAGCACTGCTATGATGTCAGAAATCACCCATCAGCTTGAATTAGGATGTCTCAGTGGTAATTATTGTACATAGCTTTTCATTGTGTAAAGCGATGAGTCACTACAAATCACAGTTCTCTTTATAATTTTTCCTATAATATTATCTTTACAGTATTTTAAGTGGCTTTGTATTATTGGTCCCACATTCAACTACATCTTAAATTTGCTGTCCCTCTACATAATTGGATGCTGGCTGTTATCATAAATTATTTATATAATTTATTTTTAAGTCAACCTTTCGCAGCAGAAATGATTTTGATAGTGTTCTAATTAAGTACAAAATATGGGCTTAGGTTTTTTTTTTGATAATTCTTTTTTGTGCAAGTTTTATAGAGCTGAAAAAATTTGTCATGGGTTTGTCTCATTTGTAGTATTTGTGTCATTTGTAAAGTATCTCCAAATATCTAATTTTAATTAATTAATGTCATCCTTATCAGATAGAGTAGTCTAAGGACATGTTTTAGAAAGGAAGGAAAATAATATTTTTGTTCAGTCTGTTTATTTGCTGCACGTAGTAAATATCCTTATAGTTATGAATTTAAAGGTTCTATCAAGGTATGGTAATTATTGAAAATAGTTTCAATTGAGTTAAGAAGGGAATAGAATGAAAATAATTTAAAACTGGTTCACACCAGCAATTCTTTGTGCACTATTAACTGCTAAGATCTAGTCACAAAACATTATTCTGAGGAGAAAAGGTTTAGTGAACCCTAGAAATTGGATTTGATTTATGCCAGAAAATCTGCCTTTTCACTGCTTGAGATTTCTATGGAAGGAAGCCACAGTCTTTTACCAAATGGTTTCTAAGGTAACATCTTATAGCAGAGCATCTGAAACCAATTTGGTTGTTAATGAGGAGTAGTTCTCACGGTGGTGGGAAAGTGTGGAGTGAAAGAAAGGCTTTAAGATTTGGCAGTCTGTCTGTAAAGGCATTTAAATAAATGTGTGCTGCTGCTCTGCTTATGAAATTTTTACATGACTTACACATTCATAATTGCCTTCCAAATGTACAGGTCTCCTTCCAGATTTTATTGATAGATTCTGCATGATTAAAATATTTGACTACTACAGATGAATAATTTAAATAGCTGGCACTTTTCCAGTGGAAATCTCTTTACTATTGCTGAAAGAAAAATTTGCATTTTTGGGGTGATAGTTATTGCTGCTGCCAGAAATCCATCAGTGAATTGGTGCCATATCAGAGCAATAGCATCCCACTGATATCAGAGGCCACTTGCAGTCTTCCTGGGATTGCTGTGAGACACATTCTGAGGAGTTACTCTTGCACCTACTCTCTGTCTAGGGTTCTGAGGACATAAATGGTGGGTCAGTGAACAGAAATGGGTGGTCATTTTACAGTAGATGATCTGAATGTCCTCTACAGTCAGAGCCTCTTTGGGATGGAGGCAATAGAGTGCTTCTGTCAACAATGGCTCGGTGCCATTTCTTCCTTCCTCTCAGGAAGAGAGAAAACCAGCAATTCTGGCTTCTCTTTCCCTGGATACATAATAAACATGTAATGGCTCTCTCCTACCCTCTTGCCTTGAGGCAAGGCTGTATTCCTGCATTTTGTTTCATTGCCTGTGTAGACTTGCCTGAGTAGAACTGCAGAGTTTTAAATCATGCCTGCTTACTTTTTCTGCTCATGTTACTGAATTCTGTTAGTGTGTTCTGAGTTGCACAGGGGAAAACCAGTCCTCTGTTAAGCAATGGATCATATTTAGCAGACAAACAAGCAAGCAAAAGAATAAGAACGAAAGCATTACCCGAGTAAAACTTACATACTAAAAGACTTAAATAATTAATAATCCAAATAACTTTTGCAGAGTCAAGAGAAACTTGCCTCAAATAACTGAGTTTTAGATAAACCTCTGTGATGCTTTTGTTCTGACCAATTATAAACCATTGATTATATAATGGGAGTCTGCTCAGTGTCTTTCAATTATTGTTGATGGTGTCCTACCAGTTTTTCCAGAAGCCCATTGTCTTCATAGGTTCCATTCCCTCAGGAGTAGCTGCCCTATTTTCTATCCACATTGGGTGCCAGTCTTGTACTCTGAATAAAATATCCAAGTTATTTTGTAAAAGTAATTGTTATTAAATTTGGATCTCTTACCTTTAAATAGTCTCTAGTTGCCTCATGAAAATTGTAGAGTGCAGTAACTTCATAGCAAGGTTGACTTTGGTTTCACCTGGTGCAGAAGGAAGCCTCTCTAGAAATCTAGAGAGAGGATGCTTGAATATTTTGTCATCACTTGCTGCATAGGATTTTTAGAGTAACTGACACTGTTAAGAAAAAACTATGCCAAATAGTTTACTATGGCAAGTTTACTTGGGTTCTAGTGCTGAGGTAGTAGAAAGTTAATGTGACATTATTGGCTTGTCTGAGAGCAGCTGTAGGGATGGTATTGGGAAATATAACAGAAAGAAGGCTAGGACACAACTGTGCTTTTGTTTTTATTTTTTTAATTTGAATAAAATAATTGATTAAATCATATTATTTAACTGCTGCTGCTAAAGGGAGAACTTGTTTTGCTCCATCTCTTGCACAAAATTTAGTGGGTTTTCCTCTCTGAGGAATTATGAGGAATGATTCAGGTTCATGAATAATTCTGAAACTGTACTCTCTTTTTTGGCCATTTAACAGTCTGAGTCAGCTTGTCAGAGGATCATATGAATACAAAATCAGAAGGAGGATATAAGACAGACAGCAAGGACAACAGTAAGGATTGTCTGTCTTTGGGACTTTCCATAGAAGAAGCGTGTGGTTTTGTGAATGCCTGAGCAGTTAACCTGGAAACGTGTTATATGTTCATTTGCATTATGTATGGCCATTTCATGCTTTATCATCACATTTTCTCATAAGGTAATTAGGAAATCAAACTGTATGAACACCAAAAAATTCACTATATTCATAAGATGTGTTATATTGGTTAATATTGAAATAGTAGAACTAAAACTAACAGCATCAGGTGTTGCAAGCCTGGTATGGTATAAAATACCATAGATATGTGATGGGTGTCTACAAGTTGAGAAGAGAATGCTTGAGCTTTTGCTTTTGAGAGTTTTTAGGTGATTAATTTGAGGTAAAAAAATCAGCAAGGAATGGTATTTTTACAGATGTTTTCTTTGTCAACTCTAAATTTAGTACTGATGTCAGAAGATCATTAGTCTCTGATATGATCTCTAAATATTCTGGCTGGGGTTTCACCAGCAGGAACTTTCCTAATGTTATTCCACTGAATTCAAGTAGCTAAAATTATTCATATCACTGGACATTTTTATATGTTCAAATGAATAATTGTTTCACATTTCACAAAAAACATGACACTGTGCCACAAAGGGAGGGAGAAAGCAGGGGGAGAAAGCAGATCCTTGTTCTGTTTTGAAAAACTGTTGGTGCTTTGGATCTCTCTCTGTAGTTCTACAGCTTTGTGAGGCAGAACAGAAAGTTAATGAGGCTGAGAGCTGAGATTGTGCATAAATCTGAGAGGGGGGATAGCGGGTAGTTTGTTACTTGTTTTACATATTTGGTGGGGTCAGGGGTGGAGATGTTGCTGATTTTCTGGTTTTGAGGGCTTGGGGTGGTGTTGCTGATTGGAGTGTTGAGGCTTTTTTTCCCTGTAACAACTGCATTGTGAGCAGGAGTCTGCCTTTCTAATAATCTTTGTATCATTTTATGAGTTGTCAGAGCATTTTCTCACTGCAGTTTTGATGGCAATGTTCTTCTGGGAAAGCAATGAGTAACTGTGACAAAATAACATTGTAACCAGTTAAGCTTGCTTTCCATGGATTTGTGTCCTCTGACCTATCCATATTTTCACTGCAGTATCCTTGTCCCTTAAAACCACCAGTTTTTCACAAAATCTGTAGAAATGTAATTGTCTTGCATGTTTTGCAATCTGTCAAATTTGGCTTAGTTCAGTCATTGAGGTAATAGGGCTATTTCCCTAGGAAAGAAGTTAAAATATTAGCTAAAAATAGGAAGCTTTTCCAAACTTACTGGTATTTGACATAGTTTCTTGAAAGGAGCTCCTATTTCTTATCAGCAAATTCTAGGGAACAAATGTATTAAATAATTTTAGAAAATGGAAGAGATGGAAAGTGTGTAGGTTCGTACTAGTTTTAAATGCATGATTGGATTCTGTCTTTTGATATATATGTACAGTGTGAATTACATCTCTATGAGCAAAGGGGAATCCCAAACATGTGAGAATGTTAATGTGTTCAAAGAGCATTGTTTAATTGTCACTGCAATGAGAATTCCTAACGGAAAAAGAATTAGAAAGTTCAGTCCCTTCACTTCCGTTATCCTTCTGAATCTATGACTTGTAACTTCTTTAAACATGTGTGTAAACACAGGAAAACTGTGGTTTCTAAAGTCTAGAAGTGTTCTATTAGTAATATAATTAACTTATCCACCTATTGTTCATGATTAAGTTGGCTTGCAAAGTGGTAATATTAAGTAATTGTTGATTTCTTTTTGATTACTGTGTAGTGCACCAGGACTGTTGTAGTTCATTTTTAGGCATAGAAATTGAGATAATTTCCTCCAGATTGATCTTGCTGTCTTTATTTCTTGTGTAACTTGTGTAACAAGTATGCATGCCATCACTGAATGGGGAACAATAACAAAATTTGTCTGATTTTTGTTTTCTTAGCCACTCTCTCTCTTTAACTTAAAGGGTTAAATTGAAAAAAAAAAAAGTTGTTTGTCCTAAATGTTCTTACTGAAATCCATTATGCATGAAAAGAGTCTGAGTCCATTTGCAAGACCTCTAAATGAACTCCATTCATTCTCTGCTTAGAAATGTCCATTCAGCCAGAAACAGACACAATAGTTACAACCTCATTTATTTTGCACCAGTACCGGCATATTAAAAGTGAAGAGTTTGTTGTGAAGAAATATAGTAATTTTTCTGTGCTGGTTATATAATTTTGTAATAAAATCCCTTTAGTATTTCAATATTGTAAAATTGCATATATATTCTTTGCCCATAAGTATAATGTAGTAGCATTGCAGTCATCTAAAATTCTTAAACATTCATGAGGATTTTGAAGTAGCTATTTTGAAAACCAACTTGTCTTAGCTGAATGTAGCCTGACTTAGCTTATTTTGATGTAAAACAAGTTGTAGAGACATTTATTTCTAGTTGGCTCAGAAATTAAGCCAATTAATAATCATAATTAATGGCTATGAAAAAAATAAGATAAAAATATTTTAAGTTTTGTCTTTTAGAACATTGAAACTTTGTTTATGTTTGGAAAGTAAATTATTTATGAATGCATGTCAAAATCATAGGAATGGAGTATTATAGTTTCATCAAATCCATGAAGTCAAGAGTTTTGTTCTTGACTCCACATTTTGCTGGCCTCAAATATTAAGTGGAAATTGTTCTTTTGTGTCTAGCAGCATGTCATGCTCCTGATGTGTATGGGTGGGAGATCAGACCATGTTATATCTTAGTTTAAATGACTTTGGGCGTTCAGCAAGACTCACTGGCTTTCCTTCTAAGATCAGGAATGAGCCAAAATGGTAAGCATTTAGGAAAACCTGGTTCACCTTCCATGCAAGTTGGGCTTTTCTAAGTCCTCCTGGTTGCTGCTGGTTGTTAAAGTGTGTGAGAAGGTCCTGCAGCCTCCCCTGGGCGTTGCTGGGCTCGGGGGCTCTGTGCAGGAGCACCAGCGGTGCTGTCAGTGGTGGCCCCTTCCTGCCAGCCTGGCTGGCCAGCCAGGGCCACTTCCAGAGTGTGCAGGGAGTGTTTGGGGTGGAAGGGGAAGGGTAAGGGCAGGTGCAGATTGCACTTTAAATAATACTTTAACCTGGAGTCTTTTATTGATTTTTTTAGATTCAGCAGTGTCTGAAGCCCTGCTGCTGTTCAGGACTGTGCAGGGCCGTGTCTCCAGTCGGTGATGGAGCTGTTTTGTGCTGCCTGTTGTTTACAGCATGAGGGCCTTTAAGTACTAATCATCAGCTTGGAAGGAGGTGACTTGAACTGACTGAGCATTTCCTCCAGCAAACTGTAGAAAATACTGTTTGTGGGAAGTGTGTGGACTGAGGGTGAATGGGTGAGGGGCTCATGGCAGGAAAAGCAACTAACAGGAAAGGGTAAGTAGAAACATCATCCTCCTTGCTCTCAACCAGTTCTTTATCTGAAGTCCTCCTGGTGGTTGCTTTTCCTGCTGAGTCTCCTCCTCCTTCCGTCCCCTTGACATGCAAAATACAGATCCAGTGAATCCCCACACAATGACAGTAACAGGATTTTGTTGCTGAAACTCCCTGCATGCCCATTCTGTAACTCTTTTGTAGGATTCCATTGTTTTGGTTACTGCTGAATGTGACATTATGTGACTGGCACCTGCACTGTGGCCCAGCCTGGGATTGTACAATGCAATAATGATTTCAAGTTATCAGGAGTTCAACAGAGTAAAGGTTTCAGGATATGTTTTTTAAGAAGTAAATGGTATTGAAAGTTGTTCAGGTTTTTGAGTTTTTAAAAATACTCTAATTTGTAACTGTTATGCTTCTGTATGAAAATTAAAAGACATATACTAATTTCCCATAAAATATGTGTTTTCTCCTTGATGATTTTCAGCCTAGCTCCTTGAATCACTTTTTTACAGTTAAATGCTGTTGATAATTGATTTTGATGGAATTGCTTCTGATCAGCACCAACTTCTACTTCATGTATTTTCCAAGCCTAAAGATCAGTCAGTTCCCATTTCTTTACTATGAGGAAATGAAAATTAAATAAGAAGCTTTTGTGACAATATTAAAAAAACATTGAAAACAATGATAAAATATGCCCCTCATAATTCACTGCTGACAATTCACTTCTGCTTTTGTGTGTTTAGGTACTTCCCACCGGGGTGGCTATTGCCATGGCGCGGTGGTCCATGCCCTGCAGCAATGTGGCGTTCGTCACATTGACACAGCAAAGAGGTATGGCTGTGAACACCTCCTCCAGAGGGCCATCAGAGACAGTGGTGTGAAGAGAGAGGACCTCTGGATAACCACCAAGCTGTGGCACAGTGATTATGGCTATGACAACACAAAAAAGGCCTGCTTGGAGTCATGTGAAAGACTCGGTGTGGAATATCTTGGTATGAATCTTTACACATAGCTCATTTGTTGTGCTTTCCATGGGAGTACTTGCAAAGATGGATGAATTCTGAAAAAAATTTGTATGGTACAGATGGGTCACAGAAACCAAATTCTGCCTTTATTTACACATTTGCAGGTTTCTTGTTCTGTTTGTTCTCTAGGAAGTTCACATGTGTACAATTACGAGTACAGAGCTTTTTCTTGTTGCAAATGTTTTGTAAAGGTGTTTTTTATTATTAAATTACTTGAGGAAAAACTACATCAGTTTTTTATATTTTGCTAAAATCATCCAAAACCTATGAAACAAGGATTCATAAAACTTTACAATAATATATTGGCAACAGGGTGACAAAGATGCCTGGTTTCTTCTGCGATCTGTTTTCTTTTTCTCAAGGAATGGGGGTCCTTTCTAAAACTTACTTTGTAGGCCTTTTAACTTTTTAAAATTCTGAATACTGCCTTTAGTTTGGTCTGTTTGATGGAAGATTTTTTGGAGAATATGTTAGAAGTATCTAAAAGAATTTAGAAAACTAAAATTAAAGCTTAACTAACACTGCACTTGTAAATTTACCCTGATCATAACCTGCTTGTTGCCAAAGATGTGATATTGTTACTCCCTTACTAGACGGGCAGAGTTGCAGTAATGATGCCAATTAGTTCTTTGCAACAGGTCATAGGAGAGGAGGCACCGGTGAATAAACATGATATTTGCATATTTTAGCAATAAACAGGCTTCAATGAGGAAGTGAATTTTGCTGAATTAATAATGTATAATATTAATGGCAGCTGTGTGCTGTACTCACTGCCCTTTTTTATTTGTGTACTTTACAAGGTGAACAGAGAAAAACCTGTATCTGTTAAAGGCTGAGATACATGCACATCTTTGGCTCCATTCCTTCTGGAAATGTATCTCTTAACTTCTCCACAGGTACAGAATAATACAAAATGAATGAAAAGTCCTTTTTGTTTTTCCTGTGCAAATGCAGGTCACTGCAGTGAGACTTTAATAAAAAAAGTTTTGAGCCCTGACTTTCTCCTTTAAACTGAGAAATAACATTATTCCTCCTCTCTGTTTTCTGCTTGTTACATTTTGTTTGCTTTCTTTTTTCTTCTGCTTGCTCTGGCACTGGTGCTGAATGTTGATGAGAGGAAAACTTGACTCACTTCCAAGAAGTCATTTGCAGTGATTCCTTCTAGTACTGTAAGTTGCTCTTTTTATCTCAGGTAGTAGATTAGAGTAGATGCTCACACAAATACTGAGTTTCTCCTAAGAAGAAGTGTTTAAAAGAAGAAAAAAAATATCTGAGAGCAAGAAATGTGCTAATGCTGTCACTATGTGAGTGAATCCTTGGGATAGCATAAACAGAACTTGTTTGTCAGATGTGTTAAGAGCTGAAACTTCTTCTGCATATATTACTAAGAGCAATTTAGGACTGTTACAGCTGCCTGCACAATTAGTCTCCATACTAGATTTTTCCTCATTTGTTATATTTTTGTTTTGGTTTTTTAATACTCTCAGCTATCTTCCCTCCTTCTTCACCTTTCTTCAACTGATGTGGAGATGTTTCAAAAATTCATACAGCTGTTCCTGAACCACTTAGTCTGCCATGGTGACCTAAATCATATTTATATGATCAGAATAAATCCGAATTCCCTGATTCCATTCCATTGTATTAACCAAATATGTGGGGGTTCACATGTTCTATAAAAATACATAGTTTATAACGAAAACTGAAAGATCCTGAGTAATATATCTGGGATGTTAGGTCTTTATGTTGGATGGAAAGTTAGTAATTCAGAAATGCAAAAAGACAAAGCTAGAGGAGCTCTGGCAGCTAAATGCACAGCTAAGATCTTTGTTTATGTTCATTTTCTGGAGGGTCCTTAGGAGTTACCCAGTCCATCCATAAACACTGAATTAGAAACCTGACAAATAATCTAACAGGAATTAATAAGTCTTTGCAGTATCAGTATATGGAATGTGAGATGTTGAAAGCAGTCATGGCTTTTTAAGAGAAAATGTAAAATACTCCATATAAAATACTTGTTATGAAGCCTTTTCAATGAACAATTTTCAGACAAGTGGTACTAGGAGAGCAGTGTTCCAGGACTTTTTTTTGAGCTGGAAGATTATATATCCATGACATGATGGAAATTTGTATTATTTGTGGGCAGTGGTTGTAACAGATACTCTCCTCCTTGCATTTTCTAAATGTGATCCTCAACTAGCAGCAACAGTAAACCAATATGGAATGGCAGCAGATTTTACAGGTTTGGCAGTAGCAGAATACATTCCTTGGGATTTAGATCCAACCTCTAAAGTAACTTCTTGAATGCTGCTTTGTGGGTTACCAAATTCATAAACAATTTTATTTTCCTTTTGACTGTCCTGAGTTTGTCCCATTCAGGCAAGTCTGGCCTATCACAAATCCCCAGCTGGAGCTGGACAAATGTTCTATCAGCAGCTTCACTGTAATAGATGAACCACATGAAATTAGTGAATTGTCATAATTCAGACTCTGTATTGCTTCAAAACACTTTGTAGATTGTTTCACATTGATCCTTGTTCAATAGAAGGAAACACAAAACAAAACAAAAAGGATTGAGTGAGAAAGAAAAATACATCATATCAATATTAAGTGACTGTTGAGAAAAGCAAGGAAATAGGATTCCCAGCATTAAGACAGCTGGGAAACATTGCAGAATATATTTTTGCTTTTAGGCTTGATAGAAGGCCAGGCTTGTTTTTAATACTACTAGGTTGTTTTAGTCAAATCTAACTTTTTAAAAAAATACTGTATTAGGGATTTTGCATAAAAATGCAAACTTTTATTTCCACAAAAACATGTTGGCTTTTAAACAAGTGAAATGGCCAGTTAAGAGGAAGTGTGTTGATTGTAGATGCTGTAACATTAAGAGGCAATAAGCCATTATATTTTAAGTGTCAGTGTGAAAGCCGCTCAGGTGTTAGTTTTAGTTTTCCTACACCACCATGCATTGACATTTAATGACCTTCAGGCCTCTGCTCATTGCTGCACCATTACAGCCTGACTGTGTGCAAAGGATGTTTTAAAAAGCTCTTAAATCTGAAACCAGATTGTGGATGTTTGGAGGTTTTTCCCCTTCTTTCTCAGTTGCATCCTGATACTCTGAATCAAGATGGATTTTTTGATTTAAGATAATTTTTTAAAAATACATTGTTGGAAGGCATCTCAAGATATTAATTTGTTTTTCCCATGCTACAAGGTACAGCCTCATGTTCTCAATAAAAATGTTCTTAAAAACCTCCAGTGATAAAGTTATATATTTCTTGATTACTAGAACTTTAAGCTATTTCAATCAATTATTTAAAGCTAATTTCTTGCCTCCCAAAGGAATTTAAGAGTGTTTGTGTTCTCACAGTACCCCAAGAGGGAAAATATTTTAAGCAAAAGAAAATGTGTGTGTGGGTGTAGGGTGTGAATGCGTGTACAAATAAAGATGAAATCACAGAGCTTGGTTTGTGAGGTGATTGTTGTTTTTATTGGCCTGCAGATATGCTGGAAAGTTTTCTAACAGCTGCAGTAGAAGTAAGGTCCTGGCTGTGCTGGGGTGCTTCCCACATGACTGGCAGAAGGACTGTTCTACTCTTTGTCTGAGCTAAGGCACCTTTGCCCCACACCTTTCAGGAACACTTCTTGCAGTCAGGAAGACTGTACTTGGTGATCCAGTAGATGGTAGATCCAGTAGATTCTTTCTAGCTCTAAATGCCAATATTTTAGAATTTGAAGTAATTTTTATTTCAATGAAAAAGCCTAAATTGAAAGAAACATAATGCCAAGATATGGTCATGGTGTACCTGGTAAGAAAACCTTTCTAAAACAAAGGACAAACAGCCAATCTTGTTTGCATCAGAGGCCTCAGACGCTACTACAGAGATGGGGGATATGTTGCATTTTTTTTGGATGTCTGAGGCCCGAGATCTTTCAGTTATCAAATCTCTTAGAAGTCTTTCTTTGGAGAATGTTTCAGTTTCCTGAGCAGAGTACAATGCATCTGTGTCTGTGGAAATCCATGATGTAACTATTTCTGTGAGCATTTCCACACTGTGGTGTCTAACTGAACAGTCAGCCTTTTGGAGAAGTAACTGGTGGTGAAATTCTGCTGAAGTTTGATTATTTTTGCTAAATGACATTTTTTTGCATAGCTAGCAGTTCTTATTAGTCTGGTTTGGAGAACATAGCAAGCAGCAATTAAAAATACACAATTCTTCCATTTTTCTGGGAGGTAGGCATCAGATCTCAGTAACTTACACCTACTTATATATGGGACTTGCTTTACATAAGCAAAAAAGTTTCAATACAAACATGTCAGTCTCTATGCAGTAAGTAGCCCCAGTAGCATGTATAATTTTGGATGAAAATGAGCACTTGATATTATCAATTCCTAATGCTAATCCTTTGTGTTTATGTCTGATATAAATCAGTGGAAATTTTATTGGCAACAGAATGTGAGTAGTGCTGAGTTTTGCATGTAACCTCACCAAATGCTTTATTCAATATCCCAGTACTACTTTTCAGTTAAAATTGATATTTATTCCAATACCATGTATTGGTATTTACTTTTAACAAATACAACTTTTTTTCTCAGAGAAATCAGTAAAGAAGTAATTATTGATAGATTGGTGATCAGTAAGACTGTATGTGGAATTGGAAGTGGATTTTATGGATGAAAGAGCAAAGAGCAAGCAACTTTCCCCTTTTTTGGGATACATAACCAGACTCTACAGATGATTATATATGAGTGATTATTGGCTTGTCTAAGCTATTGTATTTTAAAAGTCTAAGAGTTTATAATTGTATTTAAATGGATATCAGGAAGCGCAAATGTAGCTTGTGGATTTTGTGACACAGCCAAAATAATCTTTTCCTTGCTACATCTGTAATATATTTTACTGTACGTAATTCTGTACTGTTCTGTTTAGATTTTTAAGGTAAGTAAAGCACTTGTTGCAATGATGTGCCAAAATTGGAGCTGGTGTATTATAACAAATTTCATGGCGCATTTTCATCTTAAATCAAGGTTGAATTTTTACTTTTAGAGGGGGAAGACTAATATATCAGCCCACTGATACAGTAATTGTTAGTGTAGCCCTTAATTTGGGAATAAAAGGGTTTTTTCCCCTTTTCTTTCATGATTCCCAAAGCAGAGGATCTGTATTTTCACAAAGAAGTACTATAAATGAATGGATTAGTGTATCCAAAGAAAAAAATACTCTTCTCATTGAAAACAAGTCAGGTATTTTTATTTCTTAACTCTATTTGAACTGCCAGAAAAGGAATATTATGAAGCACACAGAAAATGGTACACATCTCAGCCATCTATTTATTTTTTTTCCTGTTTTTCATCAGACTAATATATGCAGCAAAGGCCAAAACCTGTTTGACTGGGATACCTGCAGTTACCTGTTTAATCTGCAGTTGGAATTTGAATAGAAATGTAATTGTTTTCCAAGTATCTCTCCATTTCTCCTTCAGAATGTCTAGCAGTGTCTACAAACTTGTAAAGGAGTTATAGATCTGTAGTTTTTTAAATTTAAGTCTGATTTAGAACTGAGTCCAGTAGATGTACATTTCTCAATGTTCTTCCCTTGCAGAAAGACAGCACACAAAGAGAAAGGACCAGTGCTGGAGGGGCAGCACTGATCCCTTCTCTCTGGTAACCAGTAACCCAAGGGTGGCATGGAGCAGTGTCAGGGGAGGTTTAGGCTGGTTAGGAAAAGGTTCTATGATTTAAAGATAATCTCATCAGCAGTAAAGCTTAATTGTGTTTGAAATTGTGCAAACATTCAAAAAAATTGAATAAGGCATAATTTTGTTCCCTTAAAATATTATTTATTAATTTTAAAAAAATTACAAAGGCTGATGTGAAATTTAGACAAAAAGTCTGCATAAAGAATGTGCTATATTTTCCAATTTAGAAGTGGAAGTATTCTTTAGAAAGGAAAAAAACAGACCCACTGCTGAGGTTGTATAAAATATCTGCAGAACTGCCAAATATATTTATCTTCCGTGAAATGGAAGACTTGCAGCACTTAATAAGCAGTAGTCCACTCATCGTTCCAGTGACCAAAATCCTTTTGATTTAAACAGGGCTTGTTATGTGTGGAAGGTTTATTAAGTGCATATGTGACCATGAAATTCTGATTACAGTGACCTAAGCATGTGGAACATGTGCAAGTTCTGCTACCCTTAGCTGTGAATGTGATGTTATAGAATTCATTTATTACAACTAACTGGCTACATCCAGTAATGATCACTGAGCAGTGATTGAAACCATTATCATGATAATGTGTTAGGGGCCACTGGAGGGAAAATGCTGTCTCATGTGGTTTGATTATTTATTTTTGGACACTATAATAAGCAGTCTGGTTCTGTTTCTTTTTTAGATCTTTATTTGATTCACTGGCCTGATGCACAGGTTCCAGGTAAAAGCAATCGAGAGGTCCGAGCTGAAACCTGGAGAGCCATGGAAGAGCTCTATGAAAAAGGTGATCTAATAACAAAGCTACCTCAGAAAAGGAATTATAGTGTGCTTTGGGATTGGGAAACTCATAGTGAGAGACATTCAGGAACTTAATTTGAAGTGGATGTTCATATTTCTATGGAATTTGGGTGTGTAAGTTTCAAAAATCTCTTTGAAAATTGCAGCATTAGCAGTTTGGTCCTGCTTGTAAATAATATGTTGTCAGATTCTGTCCATGAGATTAATAATGGTTGCATACCTTCTTGAGAAAATACACTGATTCATTGAAATCCACCACAGAACACCATTGAACAATGCAGAATGCCTTTGTAATAACCTCCTTTTAAGTATAAATCATGCAAAGTTTTGTCTCCTTTAGGTTTTTTTTTGTGACTGTATGATGTCATTTTCCAATTTATCATATGTTGTGGTATTTTATAACTGCATTTTGAAAGTTAACAAAATAAAATGTCTAGGTGAGAAACAAATACTCAACTGCAGATTCTTTGGTACAAACTTTTTGGAAGAATTTTCAAAGAATGGAGCTACTCTTTCAGGTTGGGATAATTCACTTTGATTTTCAGTGCACAGCAAACTTCAGTTTATGATCATAGTTAAAGGAAGAGTAGACTGTAGATTTAAGAGGAGGATTTTGCTCCTGAAGTATGCAGAATCATTAGAAATTATGTGAGAGAAGATCCTGTCATGCCATTCTTGGGCCATGTGGAGCACCCTGTTTACAGCTTCAGAGAAGTTCCACAGGTGGGGAGAAGACTTTTGGATGAAGTAATCTATCCACTGACCCAGAGCTGCTGAAATAGTGATTGCAGCAGGGGAGTTGTACAAAGGCAATTTCAGGCTGTGTGCCACTACCAGCTTACCAGAGCCTCTTACACTTCAGTCCTTCCTTTAATTTGCTGTGCTTCTGCAAACACAGAAGTAAATGATCTTTGATATATCTTTTGTTCTTTTTATATTAAGCATAAGGGAAGTTGCTAAAAGTGTTTTCTGCCATGTAAGACATTACAACATTCAGTTTTTAAAGTGCTTCTCTGACCAAGTATTTCAGAGCATGAATAGCACTTACATCCAAAGATGGATAATTCCACAATGCATTTCATCTTTTCCACTGGGAAGTTTTTTTCTGATGAGTATTTAAGCTACTGCATGCCATTTGTGCCTAGATATGCCATCCTAATTTGCTGCAAACAGGTTGTATTTTCCACATTCTATTATTATTCCTATCCTATGGGATTTATTCTGCTTTCGCATGCATCTTTGTGATCTCTTCTGTTTTACAGGATCGTCCTTTGTCTGTATCTTCCTAATGGAAAAGACTATGAGCAATTCAGTGGTCTTTTAATAAAAGTCACTGGAAATACTATTGCTCTTTTCACAAACAGAGGGGAAAATTGCTTTTTGTCTTTGTCCCTATGCATGATACCTCTTTAAAGGTGTCTCATGCTAGATTGTTTTCCCCTGTGGTTGCATTTCTTCAATGTTTTTTTCAATTTCCATGTTGCTACTTTCAGTCTTTTTCTGAATTTAAGCATTCTGTGGACTCATGAATCATTTAGCTGAGGATAAATTTTCCAGCTCTGGTTGTTGAAATTACCTCAGATCATTTACAGGGGAAGGAAAATGTAATGGTCTGGTTGAGTCAAGTGCCTTAGAACCTCAACTTCCACACTTTTGCTTTAGGGGATACAGACTCTGGATGTCCTGACCATAACTATGTGTTCCTGAAATGACACGCAGATGTTAACCACTCTGGAGTTGGAAATGCAATGATTCCTGAGCAAAAAGTTAAATAATTTGTTTGCATGGTTAACCACTAGATTTTCCACTGAAGATTAAACACTTGCTGCATATCTTTGTGACTTGCTATGTGTTATGTGAGCAACATGGTTTGAATTGAATGTAGGATTTGGTCAAAATCCTTACTGGAGGAAAAGAATAAAATCTTCATTGATTAGGGGAAGAAATTGAATGTTCTATGAACAAGGGAGTTCTTTGTCTTTCTGACATTAGTTCAGGTAGTCATTGGTTTGTGTTTGGAATTCTGTTACTTTTTTATTTTTTGAAATGTTTATTCTGGAAAAAAATATAAACTAAATGCTTCACATTCAAAGGTTGACATTTTAAACAAATAATTTTCTTCTGCAGTCAATTCACAAAGGTAATATTGAAATTATTCAACTGTGAAGTGGGTTTAGTAGCTAGCTGTGTCCATCATGAAGAGCATCTGAAAGTGGAGAGGCAATATCCACTGTCCTCTGTAGAAAACAAATTGGTGTTGTGGAACTGTCTGCAAGGGTCGTGCAAGATGGTTAAAAGTTGTCTGTATTGACTTAAGTCTTTGATCTGGCTGAAGTTACCAAGAATTTGTTTCATCATTTCTCTGTATTCACAGGTGGTTTGAATTCAGGTATTTGTAAATCTCATTCTTCAATTTAAATCCAGGTTAGTATTTATTCTGCAAAATTCCACCTACCTGGGACAGGAAAAATTATTTTTAAGCAATGTAAATTATTAATTATCTATTATTATTATTATCATCAATTAAACTAGAAGGAAAGTAAATAAACTGTTAGTACTCCAGACTGTAAAAGTCTGTAATGGAGATTTTTTTTTTTAATATTATATTAACTTTTAGATAGCTCACATTGGTCAAAAGTTGACACAACCAAAATACCAACTCCATCTATATTCATAGCTCTGAGAGAATTTTTTTAAAGTTATGTCTACAAAGATTCATTCAGGTTCATCTGAGAGCCCACACAGAGCTGCTGGGACAGACACAGGGCTGCTGTAACACAATTTTCAGGGCTCTGGCCTCAAGTGTCTTCCCTTCCTGAGGAGAGACAGAGCTTCTGGGTCTGTGCCCAGTCTAGGTCAGTGTGCACTAATTTAAAAGACCCTGTCCCTAAGTAATATAAACTTTGTGCAACAAATTTCAAAACATCTTAATATTTTTCAGAATTATTAAAATAAATATTTTAGGAAGCAGAAAATTTGCATCAAGAATTAAAAAAACCTCATACTATATTGAGTCTAATTTTCCTAAACTCCCAAGTTTTTCATAAACTCTGGCTGTAGAGGATTTATTGTTGCAGGTTTATTGCCATTTGAAGGCAGCAGGTGCCAGTGAACTTGGTGTGGAATTGGTAGATGTGCTTTCATTGAGATGTGTGGGCATCTTTGTTTACTGTTTCCTAATCCATAGCTGCTTAGTAATGCTTCCTATATGTACTGCTAATGCAGGTTTAGAGTTGAGCTGTAACATAGAATATTATCATAAACAGTAAGTAGTAGTTTCAAGTGATGAGAGAGATCCTCTGCTATCACTGAATAATCCCCTCTCTGGTTTACCACTGGTTTTCTATTTCATCAAAAGGGATTTGAGGCTAGCATTTTGTGAAGGACTCTTTTGTCCTGATATGATGTGAAGTGGAATTATGAACAATTTAAAATGAGAATCTGAGTAGTGTTTGTTGGGGATCTGGTTTCCCTCTCCAGTTGATTGCTCACCATACTGAAGCTTTGGGCTGCAGTGCTTGGATCCAACGTGCTTTGGAAACTGAAGGGAATGTGCTTACTGCCCCAAGGCTGGAGTCTCAGCAACACTTAAAAGAAGGTTTCATGTTCTAGCTCTGTTCCCTGTGCTTGAATCCCCTGTTCAGCTGCCTCAGGCGACTGAGCAGCTATCTCAAGATCACACTTCAGGTTAAAAACAATTTCCCAGAATCCTGAGGGATATGAGAGCATGCCCAAAAATACTGCTAGGAATTCTAAAGCCATTGTTGTCTTTTACTGTAACAGTATGACATACTACATTAATTATCTGTGTTAAAATAACACACCCTGGAAGTTATACCTTCTTCAGTTGTTTTAATCCCTCTGAATTGCATCAGGACCATGGTCCTGTGTCTTTCTTGTTTGCCCTTAAGCTAGAGAGTCTTTGGCTAAATATGTTCATCTTTTCTCCTGGCTAAATCCTTCAGTAGTTTCTTAGAGTCTATTAAATGTTCTACTAGCATCTTTCCCTCTTTAACTTGAAATTTGTATGTTTATACCCTCTGTTTTCTCTTTGCTACAAAGGCAAGATTATACTTTTAGTTTGTTTTGTATTATTCCTATTGTGTAGACAGAGCCAAGTCATTAAAGTTGCTGGTTTTCATTAATATCTTTCCAGGGAAAAATGTTGTAGAGTTCTGGTCAGCAAAGGCAAATAGATATTTATGGTGGTATCCAAACCTATGGCAGTTGTATCATTCCATACCATGAATCAAGCAGACAAATTTTATATATATTTCCCCAAATCATACAGAAAGTATTAGAATGCATCCTTCTAATAGTGATGAATTAAAACATTGCTTTATTCATGAGACTTTCGTGTGCTGATGAAGAAAGAATTCAGTTCAGAGATTTCTGTTTTGTCTTACAGTCTGTGTCTTCCATGTCTTCAGACCTGGGATTTGCATGCACTTAGGCCTGACCTTGCTTCCAGAGGGAATTGTGCCAACTCTTACAGTAGTTCTGTAGCTTGGGGATCAGAATTCTGCACCTGGTCTTGGTATTCAGCCCCAGTGATCAGAAGATTTTTTTAATGAACAGCCTTCTGAGGAGCTTCTACTGATAAGCCATTGCAACTTCCTGATGTTGAGTTAAGAACAAATGAATGGCAAAGGAGAATTATTTTCTATTCTGGTTTTAGAATTTTAGTAGGTACCTGAAAGTATAAAATAAAGGATTTGGAATGGAATTTAGGATAGTGTTTACTTACACTAAAAACTGCTATTAAAAATTCCTGTGTGACTTCTGGTAGACCAAACTGATAGCTCTCTATTCATGGCAGAAAAGATCTTGTTGCTAAACTGATTTCTACTAGCTCAGGAAAACACAGTTGTAATAATTAATTTATTTAAATGCTGTTAATTTTTTTTTTATTGTTGTCTTCTTTGACTTGTTAATCTGCTGCAGTTTGATTGGAGCTGTCTCACAGGAGCCTGATGACTCAGGTTG